GCCACTGTTGCAGGTTTTCTTGCAACTGCTGTAATCTCTCTTCTTGTTTATTTTGTTGTTCGAGCTGCCACTGTTGCAGGTTTTCTTGCAACTACTGTTGTCTCTCTTCTTGTTTCTTTTCTTTCTCCTCCAACAACTGCTGTAATTTCTCTTCTCGTTCTTCTTGCTTCTTTTGCTGTTCTTGTATTGCTGCCATCAAATCTGCTAAGCTGTAGTTTGATTTTCCACCTCTCGTTTCCATTTTTTTATCCCACTTCTGAAACAAATTTGTTACGTCTTCGTTTGTTAGTTAATTTTCCGTAAATTCTTTCTGACTAAACTTTAGCGACACAAGTCCTTTCTTAAATAAAACTGGGTTATTCTTTCCGAATACAACTTTACGATACACTTAATTTCAACAGTCGCTCTATAACAACGCTATAACTCACGTCTCACGTGGCCAACAATATTCTGTCCGCATACATTCAATTACTCATTCCCCCTCCCCGTTGCTTCGTGGCCGGTCTTATATATACAAGACTACACTATATCTAGAAGGATCACGAGATTTAAGGAAAAGACGTGAATGTTCGAGAATGACGTGGCGTGATACTAGTCACGTGACCTCGATGTCGTAACACCGTATTGTCGTGAAATAAAACAATGAATGAATTTTTTTACATATATTACACAATTTTCGTTATTATGCTAACATATTTTTGTGTATGTTATTACTGTTCTAAGTTCTTCAATAGCTGTATAACATATGCCATAATTTCAATCAGAAGTTCAAACTAACTTTAAAGGTTGAAAGTATGATTTTTTCCTATCTTAAAGTTTGGACATAACCTAGCTCACTGCACAGTGCCAAAATTCTCTAAAACCCTTAAGCTACTGAGAAAAATGCCAGTGTATGTGTAGAGTTGAAAACAATTGACAAAAACATTTTTGAATCATCTATCATGTTAATAGAAATTATTATTACAATAAGTACATTACACAACAAATACTAAGAAATATTGCATGGCACGGATAAAAAAAGACCCAACACTATATAAGAGCACAAATATCTGTGTATTTCAACTGAAGTTTATTTTCATTGTCATTATCTCATCAAAACACTTGCATACATTAAATGAGCAACATTTCCAACTTTCATAAGTATACACAAAACTGAGATTATAGAGGGATTTTTTTTTACAAATTAAAACCTTTATATCATTGTTGCTTTCTAGCAAGATTATTTCCAGTGAAAGGAATATTTTAACAGCAGAGTTTTATTTTCTTTGTTGCCTATAATGGTTACCTAACAGATATCACAATGCGTGTTGTGCTAAACAAGCACTCAGAACGTCTTCAATGGTTTCAAGGTCCCACGTAAAGTGTTTAACTGTACAAAGGGCATAATAGGATTAAAATATGACTAGGCCTTAACCAAAAACACACCTTATTACAACAATATTTACTAGAAAGCATCAATACGGCAATTACAAATTACAATAAGAAATACTTGGGAGTTTTGTTTTCAAACAAATACTATTATTATCGTGTAATAGTCAACTTTCCATTCAGTTTAATTTAAAGTGACGTGCTCAAGTAACATACAGTACTTGTAACATTCTTCTCAACCTACATAGGTCTTAAATATGTTGTTTTTCTGCACTCATCATTCTAGCTACTGAAATCAAACCTATCTGAAATATTTAGTTTTACAGAGTTTATCAACTACCCTATGAGTAAACTGACTGATAACTGTTTGAAAGGTCTTTTTATTTGTAATTTATTGTCAATTTCTTTATAAAACATTCATTTTTAAAGCAGTTTTTAAAAGTAATTGCCCTGTGACTGACAAATTCTACACCAGTCTGTTTTGGTTTTTATTTTATTTTAAATTACATAAGACATACTAATAGGCATGGGGGGGATATAAGATTTATATTCTAGAATATTTTCTGATTCAATTGTACATTTGTTTGAGAGATGCAGATAAATCAATTATGTTACAAAACATTATTTAACACACTTCTGCCATTTTTAGTAACCCATATTTGTTCATCTGTCAATAAATATGTTTCTGATAATACATTATAACTGAGAACCTTATGTAAACATTTTGGCTGTTAAATTAAGTTCACAATACAACATGAACACGTACTGATAAAAAATGTTTAATAAATGCAAAACTGGAACATAGTTCAGTTGGCATCCAAGCATATCATTCACATAATTACTTCCACAGAAATTCAGACTGAAACAAAAACCCCAACAAATTTTTTCAAGCTACTTTGACCTTTCTCATTAAACACTAGCATTAATAAAGGAATTGTAAGTATTGTTATTCTTTATCAGAAAACACCTTCCTTTTTGCAAACCATAAAACACTGTATATGGAAGAACATTATAATAAAATACTATCACAGGTATTTTGAGGTTGTTAAGAAAACGTAACTGCTTTGACTGGTAATAAAATTTAAGTGTGATAATCATGATTTTACCACTTTGGGAAGCCCAGATTTAAGCTTAATTAACTTTGAAATAACAAAATGACTTTATACTTTGGTCAAACTAAAAGTAAGAAAAATAAAACAAGGCTGCAATATTTTACTGCCAAAGGTTTAATATACTGTATAAACATATATATATATTTATTTTTCCAAGAAAGAAGCCATTGAAGACGTTTTCTTATGATACCCAAGGGATATAATACACAACACTCAATATCAGAAGAGATTACTAAGAAACTGAACAATATATGCAACGTGATGTTTGTCTTATAAGACACTGCAGTAATTTTACAAAGGAAACAATTAAATGATGATACTTGCATTGAAACAGAGGATCGTTGGGTTCAATTTCCATAATGTTACATAATAGGATCACTTTTTTTTTAAAGTTATAAAATATAACACAAAATAAAGCTATAGAGGCTACAACTTTTACATATCATGATCAATTTGCTGCTTAAAAGTCCTTGCACTGTAAACCAGCAAGACAGAGGCATTAGCTATAATACTCTGGTTAAATAATGCCATAGTATGTTTATTTTACTTGCAAATTTCCTGCTACTGCCCGAAACATGAACTTTTGAAGGTGTAAGTACCTTACTTTTGCAGGAATTATTTAAACTGACCAAAGTCAACTTCTGCCAACAATATAAAGATAACCTTTTCTTCTCAATCTGTCAAATGACAGGTCACTAAATTAGCAGCAGGTTCATCATTATTATGTATCTCAGCAGCACCATTACATCCAAGGCCATTCATAACATCTGGCATTAGTTTAACCAAAGCATTAGTTCTATTTGATGGACTACTGCCCACAGTTGAGATGTGAATAAGTGGCTGGTCATCTGCTGTCTTGCAGAAAAAATTAAATCCATTAGTTCCATCAGGACCTCTAGGCTGTCTCACAACAAGGACACGGGGCCCACAGTCCTCTACAGACATGGTTCTCAGTCGACTTATTAGACGTTCTGGTCTTTGACGTGGTTGGCTCTCACTATATTGAGGGAACAAGTTGAGATGATAAATCATGAGGTGATCTTGTTCATGTGAGAGAAGACAATATATATATACATGAACACAAAACTATTTGTTTTCAACATCCATCAAGAATACAATCAGAAGATTATAGCTATAAGGTTTTGAGTCGGTTTTACTTCAACATACAGTGAACTAAATTAATTTAGGTACGTGAATAATATTATAGTGAAAAAAGAAATCTTTAACACACATACACATACATACATATATATATAATCAGAAGATCAGTTGAGTAAACATATCAACCACATAATACCATAAGTTACTTGTTACATAATGACATATTGTCTTGCTGTATCAAAAGCACACACACAAATCCATTAAAAAATATGACAATTATCAAAATCATTTTTGATACAATGGAGCTAAAGACATCTATAAAAATCCCCTATACGATAAGCATGCAGATACTATAAAAAATCTATAATTTGTATAGATGAGACTTCTTTTAATCTACGTGAAAATTAAAAGAAATATATACACACACACACACACACACAGATATTGAAATGGTAGCATTAAACTTTTATCATTTAGCTTTTAAGACATTTCAGAAATATAGTTGCTGTAATCACAACTGAACTGCATTCTTAACACATTAATATTTAATACTCACAACCATGTGAACACATCAAGAAAGATTAAAGATTATCAAATTAGCACTGTATTAAAAAATAGAGTATTATATGAATTTCTTATTTAACCATTTCTATTTACTTGATAGCCTTTATGAAGTGATTTGTTAAATCAAAATGCAATATAACATGAATTCAATTATTTTATATACTAAATTATAATGATAATAAAATTTATAAAGAAACTTCTATCTACAAAATGTTTAAAAAAACAGGAATCAACTGTGTCTGAGAATATAAACATATACATGTTAATATAATCCACACTAAAGTACAAAATATTTTCACTCAGCTGTAAAGAAAATATAGAATCAAACACTTTTTATTCTTCATTTTATTGACAAAAATTTCCTTAATTAATTAAAATTACAGGTTTACAAGGTTTAGCATGAGGAATTTGTTGCAAAACATTAACGGAGAAATAGTAACATTAACCTACTTTGTTTCAAGATCAAGTTGTTCAACTGTTATCAACATACGTCAAATAAATCAATCTTATACACGATTTTTGCGTAAGTTAATAAACTCAGTTTTCTTACATTGTTCGTATGTTCTATTTTAATTTCCTTTCATTTTAACTAATACTGGATCATGCAGCCTGATAAGGAAGGAGAAAGACTTGTTTTTTTTTTGCCAATACAAAACTTAAGAAATAAAAATTTAGAAATCATAGACATCTGAAAAAACAAAAAACTTTCACCAAAGAAAAAAAAATGTTTGAAAATTTATAAAAAACCTAAATGATTTTTTATAAAAGGACAGAGAAGGATAACCTGTCACACTATCTTCTATTTCACACAACTGCATTGAAACAGCACAATTCTTCTGTTTGAAACTTGACTTCAAATATCTCATAACCTAATTTATAACTTTTTTTTAAATTTATTAAATATTACCTTGAAAAAATACCACATTTAAGCAACTTATAAGGAAAATGGTGAACAGAAAAATTCATAAAAAATGTTTTGGAAATACTAATTACTGCTTCAATGTTTTTATAATAAACTTATATGACTGAATATCTTTTAATATTTTCCATTCATTTTTACAACTGATTTCTATGTAAACAGTTCTTCCCTTCACAGTAGTTTCAAAGACTAATAATTACAACAAGAAAAAGAAACCAATTATATACCAACTATATTAAACTGTTAGTGGGGAATTCTCCCTACTCTTGATATTATGGATCATAAACCAAATAATAATTAATGATGCACGGCAAGCTGAAGTAAACTACATTGAACTGTCAGTGTAGTATTCTCTCTACTCTCGACATTATGGGTTTTAAACCAATTATCATTTAATGATTCTTGGTCAGCTGAGTAAAGTACATTGAACTTTCAGTGTGCTACTCTCCTTACTCTTGATACTATGGGTCATAAACTTAATAATAATTAATGATGCTTGGCCAGCTGACAAAATCTAAGTAAATCCTATGTCAAGGTTTTTGGCAAGTAATGTAGGCTGATGTTTAAAAAACAAGTAACTATAGTTCACCAAGTTCTTCTAAGATATTGAAATATAAAAACTTTACATGTAACGTCATTCAACCAAAGAATATGATAAAAATTTTAAACATGATGGCTGCGTGTAGCTTGGTGGTTATTATACCAGGATGTTGATCAAGAGGAATAAAGGTCTGTGACATGATACCACTAAATACACTTTAACTGTGGTTGCATTATAAGAGTGACGGTCAAATTTGTTATTCAGTTCAAAACAGGGCAAAGCTCTTGTGACAATAGGTACTGCTAACTGGCTGCTTTCACTCTGTTCAATAATTAGGGATGGTTGTACCTGAACCATAGGGTTCTCTGAACTAGTCATTTAATCAGTGTACATAAGTTGCCATTCAGGTAGAATTTACCAAATGTGGTATTCAGGTACACTGCTGTCTAACACACAGGATATAGTATCCAACAAAATTCAAGAGCAACAAATGTTATGCAGAGAATTGTAATGAACCAAACCAATCAAACAAGTGAAAAGTAAAACAGATCTTTGGTCACAGTAGTGTTTATTTCTTTACCTAGTGGTTGGTGTCTTACTCATTCAAACTCGAACAGGCTACTGGGGCAAAAAGTTTTCATTCCTCTCCACATAGGACAAGGAACCATGAAAGGATAATGTTATATTGCATTTTCAAGTAAGACAGAGAGATCTAAGTGCAGTATCTCATAATCCATACATTCCCTATGTGAATGACTATCCCAAATGACTTATTCAAAGAAAAGAACCTCCAACTTGTACCAATTTATACAAGTATCTGTGCCACCTCTTGAAATGAGCTTGCTCCACTGTGGGAGTGGATATACACACAACATTAAACTGGTACAAGATTCTATGCAATAGCTGTTGCCAAAGGTAACCTTTACCTGAGGTTAGTTATTAGTACTTATTTTCAACCTCTTTGACATCCAGTTTACAATGATGCCATTAACTAAGTGAAGAACACCTGCACAACAAAGTGGTTCACTGGTTTCAAGATAATGGAAAATGTACCTGTACTGTTGCACATATGTTTCCATCATCAGATATTAACCTACACATACTTAAATTATACAACATCATTATTCAGTGATTAATCTACTAACACCAGCATCAATTATGCTTTTCACCTCTGACAAACCCATATTAAGCCTGAGGAGCCACCTAAAGAGTTAGACTTACTTGAACAGCCTCACAAAAATAAGAAATGGCCCTTCCTGCTACAAACATCTATACATATCACATTTCATGTTATCAAAAGCCAAATACACACAGTCCAACATAGCAGGCAAACAAGAGACAACAGCAAAATTAATTTCATTATTATAACATAGTAATCAGCCTGAATTTCCATATTTTCCTCACTTGTACTGTTCTCTAGGATTCATGAAAAAAAATTAAATCAACATGGAAAAATAACCCCAGACAAAAAAAATCTACCAAAATGATACGAATTTTGTTTGACTTAAACAGTCAATGTTAATTTCCCATGCTGTTAGAGAACAACTCTCTTACTGTACTTCAGGAAGCCTGGTATATACCAACCAGTCTATAAGGCACAATCTTGTATAGTGCCAGCTTACACGCAAGATTGTGAGATTTCTCAGGAAATGTACACCAACATTCATGACAACACTTAGTCTGAGTGCTCAGAAAGCTAGAATACCAAGTCCTTTCAGCAGGTTAGTTTATTATATTTTCAGCCATGATTAACAGATGATTCCAACTGTCAATTTTCTAGGATCTTACCTAACAATCTCTGCTGTCCTAGTTTTGTATCTAGTGAGTTTCATGTGATCTGCTCTTTCTGTTGTTTACTTTTAAAACAACCAGCTATCTAAACTGGCCAATAACTAAATGGTTATTACACAACATTGTAACACTTTACTGCAAACTTCCACCTGACAGCTAGAAAAGCAAGGAACATCTCTTATTTTCATTCATTGATTTTTCAATCAACTGACTATACTAACTATATAACAATCTAGTGGCTATCACATGTTAATATGCCTATACACACTATTGTGAAACGTCACTTCACAGCTTGGACAATATGAGTGGCAAATCTGTTTCACTGATTAATCTACTGATTATCCTAATTGTTAGTCAAGCAGTTAATCCCAACTGACCATTAGAGAACTGCAGATACTTACCACAATCATATCCAGTCAGAAAGCTTGAACTTTTTTTTCTGATTACTGCTTTACATGTTTGTTGTCACAAATTTATTGCTGATCATGGCAATTTCATATTCCTCTGCATACCTAAGTACTTCTACACTGGGTAAAGTGCCAAAAATTAGATAAACAGGCAGCTGTACTTTTTGTCCAAACATCAGGAGCTTTGAAGAACAAGTAGTAGACTGCTGAACAGTTTGTTGTATGTCATCATGATATATACAGTATGTGCTCATTTCTATCAGTGGTCAAAGTTAAAACTTAGGAAACGTATGTTTAACAACCTATACCATCCATTCAGCCAAATCAGACTGAAGAAGATATGGTGAAATATGCATTTTCACCACACCTAACACTCAGCACAATCTGGCAAACAAGTGACTGTTGAAGTTAGCTCTTTCATCTGTGTGAGTGGATTGTGACTCTTTCCAGGTGCACCAAAATATCCAGTGTTCATCCAACACATATGCAGTGGATTGCCTAGAATGTCTGCCAACAGACAAGATTTCCACTTGGTAAAATAATTTATGATAACAGCATATACCTATTGTCTTTCTCAAGTTCAGGCAGAGGACCAGCTAAATCCAGGGTAATTTTCTTGAGAGGAGAATCCATAACTATATGATGTATTTTTCCCTAACAGGTCAGTTTTTCCT